GCTCACGACCACGGTTGTATTTTTTCTTCAATAAGACAGTTTTGTCCACGTGCCCGACGACACCTTCTTCGCCTAACAGTGAAGTAATTCTCTCCATTTTCCGTAAGGCGATTTCTCTGCACTGCTGGTACCACGGAACTGTTGGCACGAGGCAATTTTCAGTTTCAGCAGCTGCACCTCTTACAGACTGTTTTGAAACCAAGAGATTACAAAATTTGGGTTAGGGGAAGATGCAACCTAGCAAAAACTGTTCCAACGAAATATTAAAATCATCAGCTTACCTTCCATAATACTAACTGGTCTCAAGCAAATTTTACAACGATGGATAAATCCATCAATCGACCTGCTAAAGCTTTTTAAACTCATAACACCATCACATGAAAAGATCCTCTCCTCCCTAAACAACCTCAATTCCAGGTAATACTACAAAACCTTATCCTCATCGAACTGCAAGCGTAACTTCGTTAGAGAAGGCATTTGATACGAATCCAGCGGAATACAACCTTGGACTCACGTGCATGGTACTCACTGGATCATTCGAGGTCATTCGCTGATTGGTGGTTAGTGGTGCTTAAAGTTTAACCTGGCTTTGTAAGCATCAGAAATAGCATCTACCGGTGTTTTCGTACTGACTGAAGATGATGTCAAACTTCTTCAAGACTAGGAAAGTTATTGTACTACATCAACTAAATAACCATATCCCATTTAAACATTTTGGTAACATCCTCATCATCCAGTCAAGTCCCCTTCAAGTGATAATTTGCGAACTCATGAATTCACGGCCTCTGGCATGTTTACTACCAAAATATAGATTCTAATATGAACAGTTAGTTCTTTGTTGTACCTATCCAACAGAAACAATAGCGGGATTACTAATCTGAATACATTGCAGATTTGGACGACCATCATCTGAGACAATGTCTTTTCATACCTTAAATGTCTACTGCTTATAAATGGCTGACTATTTAAACATAGCGACTATCGACTCGCAAAGTTAAGGACCCAAAAGTACTCTCTAATATAATATATTAAGATTCTTAAATTGTTTGTATATTGAAGTACACGTTATTCTTTATACCATACCATAGGCCGGCGTCCAAAAATCATTATATTTCTTGACCTAAAGGCGTCATTCGATTCTGCCAACCGAGAGGTTCTCTGGCGATGCTTGGCTGTAAAGGGAATGCCGAGAAAATATATCGCACTGATCAAGGCACTCACTCTACTCAAACTCATGCCGTCAGCCAGGTGACAGCCTACTCAGAGTTGTCATCTGAAGTGGTGACAACTAGTGGTGTCCGTCAGGGATGCACATTATCCCATTTCTATTCAATTTCATCATAGATGTACTAATGGATTTAACCCTAACTCACTTCAGCGACTCAGGGATTGACTTGTTACCAGGGAATAATCTCGTCGACTTAGAATATGCAGATGATATAGTCCTTCTAGGTGAGGACGCTGACATAATATGCAGAGTCTTCTGAACACCTTGAGCTGAAATCTAAGAATCTTTGGCATGCGATTCGCTTCCGCAAAATGCAAGATGATTGTACAGGATTGAACTACACTGACTCCTAGTTTAGAAATAGGGAGTGAAGTGGTAGAGCACGTTGACCGCTTCACTTACTTAGGAAGAACCATCAGTCCCAACGGGTTGATCTCTGACGAAATCTCAGCACGGATACAGAAGGCTAGTTTCGCATTCGCCAGTTTACGCCGTCTCTGGTGTAGACATGATATCCGGCTATCGACCAAAGGGCAGGTGTACTGCTCAGCACTTCACTCTGTTCTCCTTTATGGTTCGCTGTGAGACATGGTCATTGAAAGTGGAAGACATGAAAAAGCCGACTAGCTGTATTTGATCATAGGTGCCTGCGTTCTATCTCCCATGTGAAATTGTATAATAGAATGAGCAATATTGAGGTTAGGCATCAGTCGAGTTCTAGGTAATGAGGGGAAATCAATCGACGAGGATGTGAAGCTACACCGACTGAGATGGTTAGGACATGTGTTACGTATGCCTAGCCATCGATCGCCTCCCTCGACTGACAGGAAATGTTAGCTGACATAGGGTTAGGTGGGAAAACAGCCAGTGGTGGTCAAACCAAAACATAGCTTCATCAGTCAATCAAATCCACAACAGTTAGTTTAAGCCAGTCACGTAGGAAGATGTACACTGGCTTCCTTGTTGGCGTCCTCGGGACGGTTAACACCAATGACTGGAGACAATGGGTGATATGGCTCAAAATCGTTGTCAATGCCTATCGCAGATGCATCCACTCCTTGTGACTTATGATTTCAAATGAAACTATATCGTTCTTCGTTATTACTATTCCTTTGTCTCACACCTCTGTTTACTGCCTCTATTATGCATTTCTTTTTACTTTCTTCTCTTGTTTTAGGTGCTACATGGAGTATGGCGACTTGAACTGCTGCACATCGGTGCAAAGTTCTATGTCAAAAACAAACAAAAAACAACCATAGGCAGAAATTGCACGATCTCTCTGTCATTATGGTTACCATTTGACCAAACATTGTAGATGTGACAATCGACTGAAATCGAATTGAGCAGAGCACTTGAAGTCGCAGAACTGAATGCCGAACGCACACACACACATGTGAGAATTTCCAGACACGTGAGGCGTTGTGTGCGCAGTCTTACCACTGTAATCACGCGAATGACACACCACTAAGATCCAGTCTGTCAACCTCACAAACACAGCAAATATGTACCCTACAGAACATAAGATTTTTGGTTCGTAAAGCCAGTTAACTGACTTCACAAAATGCCTCGTCATAACTTAAGTGTGATACATAAATTCTGAGTCGTTAGAGGAGTCATGGGCAGTCACCAGGATGCCTTGCATTTAAGTTTCATGCTTCTTGGCACTCTTCAGCAAGATGTATTTGCAATCTTGAAAGGAATCAACCATATCCCTTCTGAAATTGGAATCCATATCCCCCAATACTACAGTCACAGACGTTACCACTCAGCTGTTCGAGGTCACGATTGACCTTCTGTAGGACCGTAATGGATGTTTTCACTGTACACTAGACTGTGATTAATGTAATGGTAACGTCTCTGACTGCAGAACAGGTTGACCAAGGTTTGAATTTCAGTAGGGACAAGAGCTGGTCCTTTAAAATTGCAGATACACTGTGCTAACCAATGCCAACAATCATGAAACCTAAGTCAAGCCTCCAATCATTAAATAACAACAATTCAGTGTGTACTATGCTGACAAGATACCCAGCATGGTAGCTACACTGTAAATTTGACTGACAGACCTCAGCTTACACCAGCACTAAGGACTAGACGCATAACAGTAGTTACTGCCTACTTCCCTATGAAGATATAGTTATCAGGCTTTGGTTTACAAGGATTTGATTGGTTACAAGACTGATGATATGTCAATATCAGTCAGAGAACCATTTGAAAACCTGGGAGTCATGGACTCGGGGGTTTATCAAGTCAGGCAAGAGGACAGTTACTCGCATGTGATATCCATCACGAAATGGCCAAAGTTAGGATTTCATGGACTATTAGGTCAAGTACAACTGGCTGAATGTTCTATGAGCTCTCCTCATAACTGGAATATCCTGGGTTCAAACCCTAGCGGTGGGTGCGTAATGACGAAGAGTCCCAAAACTAGGCTGACAAGATAGCCCCGTCCAGTAACCCTTGATTCCCCAATGGTCCTTTAACCGATGTCAGCTCGTAATCAATCCTGAAAATTTATTTCATAGTGTAATTCCAAACTTGCATAAAAAACTCGAATCCTTCATATGAATTTTAGATAAGCCATTTTAAAGGTTGTGTATTAAGATGGCAGCTCTTTTTTGTTTTTTCCCTGTACATCCCCAGTGGAACATAGGGCGCCTTCAAGCTAAAGGATCGAAGATTCTGTAGCATTGGTGATTATTTTTACAGGGTGGGTTTGCTAGCCTCATGCCCAACCTTCCCTCTTTACCAGTCTTATCACTGGCTTAGCGAGATTTCGGAGTATGTCGGCCGGGGATCAAACCTCGGACCACGTAAGGCGTGGTTGGCGAGCACTCTACCGCTGTACCACCGACCCACTAGACGGCAGTTAGTATATCATAAAAACCAGGATTACTTGTTATCTTAACAAATTTATTTCAAAAGTAAAGATTAATGATGATGATCATCATAATACTTGAAACACAGAGGATCCATCATCCATGAAAGATGTCAAAAATCTTTCAGATTTACTTTGAAACAGCGATAGAAGAAACAGAAGAAAAACGCATGAGAACACTAAACTTTTTATCGTCATAATATCAGAAAAAACATTACAACTCCTCATACCACAGAGACAGAGACATAGAAAGAGAGGAGGGGAAAGAGGGAGAGAATAGCAGCAAAGAAGAATTACAAAACCGTCAACAGAAACAAAAAGAACACAAGTTATATCAGCATTGAAGGAAGCACTTTTATTATGCAAAAACACACAAACACATGTGAAGACTTATTTATACAGCAGAGAAGGAAATAAGTGTTCAGTTTTTTTATTTACCGCTCTTTTTCTCCTTTTTAACGCTGAGCAAATTCAATTAAAAGGATGAACACCAAAGAGAGTTATCGGCGTCAAATGAAAGACTCACCTAATTCTTTATACACATATGTAATAATTATGCATAAGGGAATTAATTAATAACAAAAGTAGAAAATACACAATAAATAGACAGATAGATAGATAGATAATTTATGAAAGACACAAGGTGAATGAAATTCGCGTAATTTTACATACTTGATATCCACCCGCCAATCTTTTATTCTGAATGTGAACAAATAATAATATACACGATACATACGTACATAGATAGATATATATGTATGGAAGAAGAGATTCTTTTCCGGCTGTTTCCTCATCATCTATTTCTCCTTCAATTCTTCTTCAGTATCCAACAGCATCGACATCATCAGCATCATCAGTCAGTCATAAGGAGGTGATGATGACGGAGAAGAATTCACTTGCCAATAATCACTCACCATATGAAGGCCAAATATCAGAACAATCATCCACAAATTTATTCAACTGTGGTGTAAGCGATTGTAAATGATCAATGTAGTGAAGCATCTCTGAATCAACTAGGCTAATTAAGCAAATGAATGAGAGAGAGAGAGAAACAAAAGAGATGAATCAGTTAACTGACTAGCCAACAACTTTTTTTAATTTAAGATATTTTATTATTCTCTAAGTATCATTCAACCAAGAGCCGATCGCGCAGCAACTGTGTAGGAGAAAGTGGAGGTGGATCGGGAATACACCACTGAGGAGGCCGTCGAATGACATCGCGCTCAGTGCAGGCCATTGCTCGAGTGGAATCCCAATAAGAAGCGACGAGTGAGTCGTCGGTGCGAGAGTGACATGGAGGAGATCGTTTGGGGAGGAGGAGGTGAGAGATTATGGGCAATCACGGGACCAGCGAAACAGGAAGACTGCAGAAAATAGAACAAAGTGGAGATGTGTTGTTGAGGCCTTATGTTCCACTCGGAACGCAAGGGAATAATAATAAATAAATATAATATGTATCATTTAGTAAATACATCTGTGTGACACTTTTATTTAGAAATGGTGGAATTATCTACCGTTTAGATTGATTTAATTATAAAAATAAAACACAATCACAATAAGGAACATATTTTATTGTTTGGTGGCTGGGTGGTAGACTGGTTAGCATTGGAATACAGGATGCAAATTTCGTCCAACTTAGGACTCATCGTCTGGACGTACCTGCATTTTCCAGTGGATGATAAGTTCCCCCCCCCCGCAATGAGACTAAAACCCTGCAACCATCGTTTCAAAGCGTTATCCTCTAGACCACGTGGGCCACGGTGAGTACCGGGTTCGAATCCAAGTGAGAACACCATCAATCACTGGGGAATGCAGGCATATGCAGATGACCAGTCTTAGGTAGGATGAAATACACATCCTGAATTCCACTGCTAGTCATCATCTACCAAATTACTTCAAGTTAATCCTCAGATATCATCCGTGTACTAGGAGAAGCCGATATATCGAGACAGATCAAAAATTTCGGTTAAACAGTCAACCAATGAGAAATTCGAAACTGAACTAGAAACAAATAATAACATATTGAGTTGTGTTAGTATTCTACTGAGTGTATGGTTTATTCAGTGGTGGAATGTTCTTCAGTAACGCGGAGAGATCCGGAGCCGACTCCCAGCCGATGTATTCCCTAAACCTTATCTTGTTTACTAGACTGTATTAAGCCAGGAAAAGACAGAAGGTTGAATGTGAGACTAGCAACTCTCCACACTGTAAAAACAACGTCATAACCACCATTGAAACTTTAAAGTTTGAAGCTGTATGTCCAACTTGAAACCTAAAGGGGAAAAAATACAGACCATAGGATATTTCTCCACCAAGCGAAATTTAACATATCCATATGTGAAACAGTCCTTTATTTCATTAGACTGTTAGAACAAATGATTATTATTAGGCATTATTATTTTCTTAATTTAATCAAAACTCCATAGATGAATTAGATTCAGATAGGCTGAGGAGAATGTCGAATTATATCGCGCACCAGGCCATCGTTCTAGTGAAACCCCAATGAATAATTTTACTAGTGGGTCGTCGGTGAGAGGTTGACACGGAGGAGATCGTGTGGCGAGGAGGAGATGAGAGATTACGGGCAATCATGAGACCAAGTAAAAAGGACAGCAGAAAATAGAAGAAAGTCGAGATGTGTTGTTGAAGGGCTATGTCCCAATTGGAAACCAAAGGATCAGTAATAAATAATAACAGTAACATAAAGTTAACTCTCTCACACACACACGCACACTGCACCCCTCTCTCTCTCTCCGAAAGGATAAAATCAGGAGTTAAAATTGCCTTTGATCACTTTGACACATCAACACTTATGAAAGACAGATGATATAGTCTACTTAGGGTACAAACACTTTCACGTTGTGTAAGCAGAACAAATACACAAGCGTGATTGCTTTCATCCGGTAGTTAAGTAGCAGTAATAACAGAATAAACCAAATAATATACCATTTATTTACGTCATGATGATACTCTTAATTGTGGTGGACTGGACCATGTGAAAGACCACAGGGAGTGCAGAAGACAGTCATACGTTGGACCGAAAAAAAAACAACTCTAGAAGGTCTGGTTTCAGTGGATGATTTATATCTAATGCAGTCAAAACTTGATCTACAGATGAAAATCAATAAGTTAGCAGAATAGATAGGAAGCGAAGACAGAATTTCAAGTGGGAGTAGAGAAGACAGAGGTGTAACGATACCTAACCGACAACAGCAACAACAACAACAACGAGAGAAATCTGAACGAAGGCATCTCTTTCACTTTCGTGACATGGTCAGCAACTTTTCACTTACAGGCGGCAAGAATAAAGGTAACCACGATGAGGAAAGCAAGACACACCTTCTGTCAATGATTTAGTCGCCATTGGCGGGCAACCTGAAGGCGCGAGTGATTCGATTGTGTACAAGTTAGAAGAAGACGAAAGAATACAAATAAAAACTTAGTACAGAATATTGATTTTAACAATCGAAGAATACAATTTCTTGTCATCCACTGTGTTTTGGAATTCAAGTCGATATGTGTGCTGAGTGGCTGCCGATTCGAAGTGTCTTCGGAAATAATAGGATCTTCGGATTAAGTTCCTTGACAAAAACTAAGTCTATAAACAAATGCTTTTACAAGGAATATATTGTAATTTTATTTGTATTCTTTCGTCTTATAATCATCCACTAAGTAAACTTAGTGCTAATAAAAGAATTTTTCTGAAATAATAAAAGTCATTAATTTATTCTTATTTGTATTATCACCACCCTATTAAAATTTACTAACTTTCGGTAATACCTTTCGCCTAAATGTACAATGTTTCAGCGAAAAGGGTGCAAATTAAACTCATATTTCAAAACAACTTTAAACGTATAAATAAATACACATAAATAGAGTCAAGTGATTTTATTTGAAAAGAAGTTCACCAGCCAGTCAGTCAGTCTACTAGACTGGTTTAAAAAAATAATAAATATTCTACATTAGAAACCAATTTCATTCCTATAGTCGTTAGAAAATAACCAAAAACAAGAATAGATACTAAGATAACCAAAAAAATATATCCATGTTTTTTACAAAGGTATATATATGGCTTTTATAAATAAATTCTCAACTTAGTCAGACCATTGGTCATTTCGACATTTATAAAAGATACGTAGACGACACTTTCGTTATCTGCGATAAAAATGTAATTCTTGATGATGTCTTGTTTGCTTTCAACAACTGCCATCCTTCTTTACAATTCACCGTAGAAAAGGAATCCGAACTAAGTATTCCCTTTCTTGATGTGTGCCTTAGCAGACGTAATGACGGATCTCCCAAAAGATCCATCCACAGGAAACGTACATGGAACGGACAACTAACTAATTTTTACAATTGGGTGTCTATTTCCAGGAAAAGGAACTTAATTCATTCGCTCTGCTCCAGGATAAGGAAAATTTGTAGTTTTGATTCCGTTGACTCAGAACTTGACTTCTTAAAAGCCACTCTCGCAGAAAACGGTTACCCTAATCGATTTAAAGATAAGCAGTTTAAGCTTGTCACCGACACAGTTCAAAAAAAACCTTATTCATGAACTTGGAATTCAAAAGTGATCAAGTTTCAGATATGCTCAAAAATCGTCTCTCTAAATCAGTCAGTAAGACGTTCTATGCAGCAAAATTACATATGACGTTCACTAATCGCAAGTTGTTCTCTACCTCTGTAAAAGATAAGCTCTCCCATCTGGCTGCCTCCATGTGCATCTATCAGTTCACCTGCTCTTGCGGAGCAAGGTACATTGGCCGTAGTCAGAGGGCGCTTTCCACACGGATACGAGAACATATCCCAGCATGGTTTTACAAGGGAGAAAGAAAGTGTGCGAAGCTCTATTCTGGAACACCTGATCGACTTCTGTCACTCTGTCAACCCTGACCATGATTTTAAGATCATATATAGAATCCATGCTAACTTTCAGCGTTTTCTTCGTTACAGACTTCTAAAGACAGCTGAGGCCTTGGCAATTCATGACTTTAAGCCAGACCTTTGAGTACAAAAGAAGTATGTACAATCCCTAATTCTGTCTTGGCCGTAGAGGGGTAGACATTTATCATTTATTTTGTTTATTTAATTATTCCATGTACTTTTCCCTTATTACTACGATTATTATTATTATCATTATTATTATTACTATTCTCACTGAGAATCTTTTCCACTTGACCCACTTGTCATTTTAAACCAAAAATTATTAATTTTTTTTATTTTTATAATATTGAATTCTATCTTATCAAATTTCACACCATTTTATGTAACATTTTATATTCGTCTACTAATCTTATAATTATGTACCCCTTTCCAAAATTCCATACACCTTATGTATTATTCTATATACGACATTAATTATTTTGCCACTTGACATTAAACTATGATTATAATCACAAATATTTTAGTTGCATTTCATACTCCTATTATTATTTCATGTATTCACACCTTTGACCTAATTCCCTCACCGGATATAATTTTTATGAAAACCATATATATACGATTGTACAGCTTGATAATAAATTCGTTGAAAAGAGTCTCTTCGCTGAATATTGTGTTCTTAATGCTACAATGGGAATTATTAAATTATTTTACAAAGGTGACAGAAATGAACCCAAAGGATTCTTAATACTGATCACAGAACAACAACAAAAACGACAAAAGAAATAATCGGATTATTATACAATGTAGTTTACGATGTGAATTAACATCAGTTAGAGAGATCATTGAAAATCAAGGAGTACATTCAACAGCTGTTTCGTCTTAGTTTAGGACTCTTCATCAGCACACACCCGCGACCTCACCAGGCATTGGAACCAGGGACTTACGAGTCACGAGACTGAACTAGTTGACCATTCAGCTAGTTGGACAGGAATTCAATGACCTGTGTGAATGTCAACTTCATCAACCAATTCACCTTTTACCTGATAGATCTCCACTAGTAACAACTTCTCATAACAATTTCAGAATATCCATTTAGTAGGGGTTAATGAAGTGGAAATTGATATTAACACTATGAGTTTCGTTGGTTCATGATGACATCTACGTTGAAATCCCCGCAAAAACCGATAATCCAAGTAATTATTTGATTGAATTGATGAAACACTTTCTTTATGAACGCATAAGTGGTACTACATGGTACTTGTGCGTCAGTGTGGTGGTCCAGCAGAAGAGTGCCCGCCAACCGACCAATCACGTGGCCCGCGCGGTTCGCTCCCTGACTGATGCACTCCTATACCCCAACCAAGCTGGTACTACACCCAGTAAAGAGGGAAGATTGAGTGTGGGACCAGCAATCTTACCATCCCGGAGGAGGTAAACACCACTGCCTACTGAAACTTTAAATCTCAAGTTGGAAGCTCTATGTTCCACTAGAAACGCATAGGAATGAAGAAAGAAGAAGAAGACAATATGATACTGGCTTCCTACTTTTCTAAACAACAACACCAACAACACTAATTACTAACTATCAAATGAAATAGTGACTTCTTACTCAATTAACATAAAGGTATTTTTTTTTCAAGCATTATTTCCAGTCGCCTTGAGAGATTCGATCAGACTGGTGGTTATCACTACTCTGAACACTTAAAAATTTAATGAATTATTGCTACCGATCAGTAATGAATACTATTTATTGCCGTTACAAAAATGATAGCCAGTTATGCGGCGGATACAGTTTATAACTTAGAATAACAGATTAGTTATGGGATGTCAAAATAAATAGTCGTATTTGTGTGACAAACGTGCTAGGCTGAATTCAATTACAAAATATTGTAAAATGGGAGACAACGATGGTGATGATTAGTCATAATACATTTGTAGAGTGTGGGGTAGGGAAATTGACAAGTCAGTTCAAGATTATAGAAAGGTGCCAGGTGAGTGGTTAGTACAAAGTGGCATGTATTAAACAGGAGATATTAAGACTGCGATGAGAGAGGTTCATAATGAAATAACAAATGTGTGAAATGAAACAGGTGGAGGCAAATATTGAGAAAAGAGATGATATCATTATTTATAAGTCCGGATAGTATAAATAGAAAATTCGATAGTATTGAGAGAATTCTTGCATGAAGAGCACAAATTATGACGAATAATAATAATTGCAATAATCCTGGGTTCGAACCCCGGTGGGTGCGTACTGACGAAGAGTCCCAAACTAGAACGAAACAGCTGTCCAGTACTCCCTGCATGTTTTCCGGTGGCTCTCTAACTGATGTCAGCTCATGGTGAAATCTTCCATCCGATCAAACAAATTCCCTACAAAACTAATACTTGAAAGGGAAAAAATCCAAGAGGGTTAAGGAGAAGAAGCACTCTTTGTGAGAAGAATCATCAATCCAAGTTTGGCCACGGTAGGAACAGCATCTGGACGTGTTCTTTTTGGATACAAAGTTCCGGTTTATTCGATCTCATTGCAACAGCTTCAGCTACGTGTGGGAGGTGTAAGCGAACTGTACGTGATAACGACTGACATCAATCCTTTTATAATCTTGAACTGTCTTGTCAATTTCCCTACCCCACACTCTACAAATGTATTATAACTAATCACCACCATCGTTGCCTCCCATTTTACAATATTTTGTAATTGAATTCAGCCTAGCACGTTTGTCACACAAATACGACTATTTATTTTGACATCCCATAACTAATCTGTTATTCTAAGTTATAAACTGTATCCGCCGCATAACTGGCTATCATTTTTGTAACGACAATAAATATTATATTTTATAATTGTAAGAACCTGAATAGTAGAAATTATTGAAAAGAATATTCTTCGTTCAGATTGACTTTTAATTCATGATATGGGAATATTTCAAACTAGCAATGAATATAACTGACTTCTCTAGAGAGTAATTTCATTTGAGCTTTCAGTTGAACGGTGACGACGGTCCTATACACATGTACCATGTGGTTTTGAGTTAACCTTGATATTATTACTCACTCGGTGAAAAAGTGAATCACAGGGCGATTCGATCATACACATTTGAGTCTACGAAATTTCTCCTTCTTCTTCTCTTTTGCGTTCGGAGTGTGCAACACACGGCTTCAGGCTTGAGCTTAAAAGTTTCAATAACAGTAGTGTTTCTTTTTACATGGATAGGGTTGCTAGCCTCAAGCTCAGTGTTCCCTGTTTACACACTTTACTACGAGCTGAGTGTTGTCTAGAGGTGCCTTGGCCGGAGAACAGACCATGGACCACATAAGTAGTTAACAAGCATTCTACCTATGGACCACGGATGCCATCCTTAAAACTAATGAAAAATGAAAAAAAACAAGCCTTCTATATTTGCACAAAGGACCCACTATTACCAGTCGATTACAGAATACAGAAAGTCACAAACAGTTGCAATGATGCAAGAATTCATGAATGTCAATTCTAATACAGGACACACTACATCAAGTATTCTGAAATTAAGTCTAAAGAGCTATTTAACTTGTGGGACGATGTAGTTTATTATATACAGTGTCACCAGAATAATCATAAAGGAGCATATGATTTCGCTTATGAGTAAATAATCGACAATCACGTGTATGTAGACATTGTGTATACGATAAGATTATTATACATTGGAATACACGTGTATTATAAAGCATGAAGAAAACAAGCGATTGTCAAGTGTCTATCATGCAGGTCGGAAGAATATATATATAGATATATGTTTTAGGCTTCTGTAAGAACTGGCGTGGAATAATGCCAATCTTGTCCAAACCAAGTAAAGTAACATGTAACATCATACTGAAGAGAATAAAGCATGCACTCGATACAGAACTCCACCACCCACCACAACAACCTACATTCAGGAAAGGCAAATCATATGCAAATCACATTGTAACTCTACACACCCAAATCACAGAACACAGCCTAGAATAAAATGAAGTCAAACCTCTCTCTTCCTCTCTGTCTCAACTTCATCCACTTCGAAAAGGACTTCATCAAAACGGCATTCACAGAAAAATAATTTGGAAACTACTTCAACTCTAAGGCGTGCCACTACCCAAATCTTTATCAACCTCATTCAACACCTCGCTACATGACAATGCCACGTGTCAGGCGATCCACAACGGAAACCTCAGTGAGCACAGGAGTAAAACACGCTGGCTGCCTGCGGATTATCACCTACAATGATATTCTTAATTGTCGTGGACTCGATTATGCGTTACATTGTGCACAGGGAGCGAGGAAACAGGAATACGCTCCACCACCGATAACAAGACTCTAGAATATCTGAATTTCACGCCTCGATAAGTTATGCTCAATGTCACACACACTCGAACAATTACAAGCGAAAACCAACAAATTGGCTGAACAAACCAGCAGCGAAGACAGGGCTGCAGGTGAACATAGAGAAGGTGGAGACAGAGGTGATGAAGATAGCCAACCACCAACAACAGCAACAACATAGGTTACTTCCTTCACTTATTTGGACAGGAAACATCGTTTCAACTACACGTACACGGAACGCATCAAGATGTCAAAGACAGCTAGCCAGGATCGGAAAGGCAAGATACACCTTCACCAACCTGAAATCAGTTTGGAAAGCTTCTGCACTCCATCCCAGCATAATCAACATCATTTGGATTTTCAACACAAATGTGAATTCAGTCAGTTCTTCTATATAGGTCAGAAACTTGTCACAAAAAGCCTTTCTTACAGGCCATTGCAGACTTTTCCTAACAGCTGTCTTCGCCGGCTCCATACTGAAGATCAAATGACCAGTCGGATGGCCAGAAACAACAAGCAATAAGAAACGCTGCAGTGGAGCAAACCATCCAAGAGTCGACTGCTTAACAAATATGTAGGGGAATATGGAGATGTATAGGGCATACGCCACTGAGGAAGGGGTTGAATGACATCGAAACCCGATGGGATGGTAGATGCACACTGCAGACGCTTCCTTAAATAAACGGAGCAGCTGTCAAGTGGTTCCTGGTTTACAAAACGATTTATGTAAGTGACGTTGGTTCATGATGTAATCTAACAATTGAATGAAACCTTACAAATGCCATTATATATAATCCCTTCAAAGGGTCTGAGATAAAGAAAGCTGTGATAACTAACTTCATAAATTAAAACACATTGTTTAGAGAATAATTGAAAATGAAATGATATTCAACCGTATCTACCCTCCAGTCTGAAACTTCCCATCAGTATCCTAAATTCCACAACAGGTGGATTGCAAGCCCACTAGTTGTTGAAGTGAGCAAACTTCTGTTCAACTTCTAAACAGGAATCATATAACCATATATATAATTCTAATCATACTTCACCTAACGAAATCGTATTAAATTATTGTGGCCATTCACCACTGAAACAACACCACTACTCACTAGCTACATCAGATCGAAGTGATCTTATCTACACCGGACAGTGATTTCTGTCGTTTGGAGTCGACCTCATCAGAGAGAACTGAGTCAATTCGAACTACTGGCTGAACTGGGGCATAGAATTGAATTCATCAATATTCCAATTTACACAGTTCCAGATGAGAAATAATCACAACCGCTTTAATCCAGTTGAAAAGTGACTGACTATTGTTTGGCGCTGACTGGTTTCTCACCACTGATATCAATCAGTAGTTTGCTCTATTGGCTCCTTCCTATCTATGGTGCTAAGCAGATTAATTACCATATTCCCATCTAAATACTTTTGATTTCTAAAGATGATTAACTGCAGTGATTTATATCATCACAAATTGTATCATCTAAAAATGATGAATTTGATTTCCCCTCCGACCCCCCTCTTCCTAGCTCTTAGTTTTTTTTAAGCAAAATTCTAATAAATGATGAAAGGATTAAAAATGAGTCATGGCAAAATTCTACTTACCTTTGTTGAGGTCCACCATCAGCAATTATGCCAAGTTCACTGATACGATGACGTAAGTGAACTTTTAACTCATTATGCACGCGTAACAGAATCGACTAGAACAAAAGAAAAGAAAGAAACAAAAAAACATTTTAAGCACACACATACACACAAAAATATATTTCAACAGACAGTAATGGTATTTAAACACAAGTTGATTAACATAAATAAGTAGTATATCATAGACCAACACAGCATAATGTATGACGCAAACTGTAAGAAACCACATGAATAAAAAAAAACTGTCCGAAATTCTTATGAAATAGATTATTTACATTCGCATCCGAATATTAGTCATTCTCATGATATATATATACATATAAAGAGAGAGAGAGAAATATACAAAAATCCATTCACGGTATTGGACATAATCTATTCTACAACGGTTGACACTGAAGCTTACATTATACCTTATTATTATTATTATTGTTCCCTTAAGTTCCTAGTGGAACATAGGGCTTCAACTGCAAGTCTCCACTTCCTTCCGTCTTCTGCTGTACTTTTCACTTGCATCCATGTTAGTCCATACTGTTTCAACTCCTCTTCACACGATCTCCTCCATGTCACCCCACTTAGACGTCCCACTCGTCGCTTCCCTTTCGGGTTCCACTCGACCACTGGCCTGACGCGCGATGTCACCCAACGGCCTCCTCAGCAAGTGTCCAATCCATCTCCACTTTCTCCTGCATATTCGTTGAGCGATTGGTTCTTGTTTTGTTTGTTCCCATAGTTTCTTGTTGGTTCTTGTTCTTTCCGGCCATCTGATCTTCAGTATAGAACGAAGACAGTTGTTGTTGATAAAGGTCTGCAACAGGCTGTTGTAAATATTCTTTGTGACACACTGGCCAAGTTTCTGATCCATCCGTATAGAAGAACTGACTGACTTGACGTTTGTTTTGAAAATCCGAATTTTGTTGTTGATGCTGAGTTGAATGACGAAGATTTCCAGATTGGTTTCAGGTTGATGAATGTGTTTCTCGCCTTCCCGATTCTCGCTCGATTTGACATCCTCGTCCGTTCCTCATGTAGTTGAGACAATGCTCCCTAGATAAGTGAATGAAGTAACCTCTTTCAAATCTCTCCCGTTCACTGTATTGGACATAATCTATTCTACAACGGTTGACACTGAAGCTTACATTATACCTAATTAGTTTACTAAAAAAAACAATCCTGTAGAAAGAAATACAAAACAGCAAAAAGAAAAGGGGGAAGGGATCTGACAATGTCATGAAAGGCGTCTTTTTTCGATAGTACAAACTACAAACAACAAATGTGAACCGAAACAGAAAAATGAAATCACAGCTTATCAGGTTTAGTTAACGACAGCTATCGAATGAAATGATGTAGATGTGTAAAAAGAAAAGACGAAATCGACCTTATTAAAATAAACCCATCCCCCTCTTCGCCCCACCCCCACCCCAACCCGACTTCTGTTTATCATGCATTGATGTTCACGTGAATTTGACATTGAAATCAACTAGTGTACAAAACCACTGTGTCGATGTAACTGCTAATTCCCGAACCATCTAACCACAATATTGATACTTATTAAGGATATTTCAACAGCTGTATATCGCATATTGACTTTATCCTTATTATTCGTCTTTACTCCTGTTTAGTTTCTAGTGTTAATGCTTCTCTTTGTGGTAAGCTTTGTCTTACGAGGCGATTTCATTTGAGTGAGTCATGATCATTCCGACCTTCGACTGTCTGTAAGAGTTGTTGGTGTGTGTGTGTGTGAGAGAATGATTCTTGTGGACACAGGTTTTGCCACCATCTTGGTGGGAATGTTCGATTTAGAAAACAGAAAGATTGAGCGAAGAAATATTTACTTTTCAATTAGATCCTCATCTCTGGCTCTACTCTAACATATATATACAGCATTTTTATTACTATACACAACAGTTTACCAAACAAGTGGTGATACGTTTGTTAACAATAATTAGACAGCGTCAAAATGTCAATGGGCTGATAATTAACGAAGAAAATCAATACACATTTAAAAGGTAGAAATGGATAGAATAAATTAATTTTACAAGAATAACACGTAATTAAAGATGAAGTGGTCAAAATAAAAATAAAATAATTTGGACAATTATAGTTTTTTTATAGTTTTTAAAGGTTTAGTGGGAAGGGGGCAAAGTCCGGTTTATACATTCATGTAACGATGGCCACGGTAAGGAAAGTGGCTGTACAAATTTCTTCTGTATACATAGGCTTGGTTTCTTCAGGTGGATTCCGATTGCTTCAGCTGTCTGTAGAAGACGAACTCGTAGAGCAAAGTTAAGACTAGTCGGAATGCGATAAATAATTTTAAATGCAGTATTAACATCAACCTTATGTTCAGTATCAACAAGGTGTGTTAAAATAGAACTACGAATAGATCTTGTTTGTCCCTTGCTTAACCATGCTGGATGATGTTCGGAAATACGACGATGAACCTGCCTAATTGTACGCAATGTTCGATTTGATTCTCAAGTAGCTTTCACAGTCTATTGTGGTTAACTAATTTTGCTCTACGAGTACTTGTTTTGTACTCGAAAATCATCTGATTTGTATACCTGCCTAACACCATTGTTAAGGTAATTTTCAGTCATTACTATTTAACAGGAGTGCAGATTTTATCGCAAATAACTGTATTCTTGCTGTCGTTAAAGCATTTTGTGAATGCGCGTCATTCAAAGAAGTTCCAGTTAGAGCCATACAGTAGAATGCAATGATTGCTTTCTCAGAATTTAGGCAACTACAACACTTCGGTTCTTAAGAGTTACAAACATCACAATTCAAGTTTGAGCACGGATTGATATTACAGATTTAGAAAAAAACATTGAAAACCAAAAACACAGAGTACTGGACATTTGTTTCGTCCCAGTCTTGGATTCTTCACAGAACACACACACACCCACAAACACAAAAGGCATGGAACTCGGGAGCTTCAAATTGGCAGTCAACCTTGGAACAAATCAAATCCCTGCAAACTATCCTCTTGAAGAGTAAAATTTTCAGAAATTACAAAGACTCTCTTCAACTATTTTTTCAACATCTTGAGGACAACAACACACACAAACACAGTGCAACATTTTGAATCCGTTCGGCAACCTATAAGTTTTAATTTCCAGTATATTTCGACGGTGCATCGGTGGCACACCGGTTAGGACGCTCGCCAACCTAGCTTATGGTACGGGGTTCGATCCCCGGCCATGAACGAACTCCTTTACCTCACTAAACCAGAACTAAAGCTGGTGAAGAGGAATGGTTGGGCATGAGGCTAACAACCCCATCCTGTAAAAATACAAAATGCTACAGAAACTTCAAGCCACTAGCTTGAAGCCCGATGTTCCACTGGGAACGTGAAGGAATAGAAAAAAAATATTTCGACAGTGAGTTCTCACATCTGGTAAAACAGGAATTCAGCCATCTCACAGCTACACAGTTTCAATCTTAGACACAATGAATGATGTGTCTAAATCAGGAAGAAGAAAATAAGCATCATTCTACAAGAATAACTCGAAAAACCAAACCAAGTATCTCTAAGACAATAAATTCATAGACTGTGCAAATAAACAGTATAAGCAGCTATAAGATAAAGTAAATATGAAGTAGAACATCTGTGATAAAAACTAAGTCCTTTACATATATATAGATATATGTAGACTAAATTGATTGGGGGAAATAAATAACGCTAATAATTTATATACCATACACAACATAAACTAAATATTGTTTCTTTTTTTCTTTTCTTTTTTACGGTAAAACAAACAAAACGATAATGAGATTTTGACATTTATATAGCAGATTTCGCCATCAACTAACATCTGTCAGAAAATTATTGCAACACTAACACCAACACCAACACACCAAGGGACACTTGACAACTGTTTCAAATCTAATTTTTGTGACTCTATATAGTGTAGTGCGCACATGCATGGATCCCAATCGATCCCAATCGAACCAAGTTCATTAAAGTCGTCAGGCTAGCTCGAAAGGCTTAATGAATACAAGCATGTTCTAGGCCCGTTCACCCCAGTTCTGGGGGAAGAAGTCAGTAGATATTACAATGTTAAATATGTGTTTATATATAAAGAGCAAAAATGTAGGAACCAAAAAATAAACTACAATTGAATAACAGACAGAGAAATCTGCTATGCGATAGAAACATATTGATTTGAAAAACAATTAAGGCGCGATTAGAGCGGAGGAGGCAAAATAAGGTAAATGATTAATGCCTGACTGTTAGTCTAGGTCATTCAATACGGCGAAAATTGGTTGACTAGATTCATTAGGACATCAGAATTCAATGGTTGAACAGTATGCATGAAATGGTGCCAAATCATATACAATAGTCACAAGGTATATCCGTTCCTATATTAACTTTCTTCTAATTTAATTCTATGTCAGTTAACACTGTCCATCGAGGAAAGCGATGGCTAGCTAGACATGCGCATGTGTAATATATGTCCTAACCATCTCAATCGATGTGACTTCACAACCTTGTCGATTGACTTTCCCTCCTTACCTAACACACTCGACACACCTAGCCTCAATATTACTCAACAGATAATAGCATCTAACACGGGAGACAGAAATCAGATATCTATGTCTTACAGACATAAAAGAGGGTAGAGAACTGGTGCTACTCAGTACGCATGTCCTTCAATCGATAGTTGAATGTCATATGCACAACAGAGATGACGTAGGTTGGTAAATGCAATACAAGCCTTTTGTATGCAGAGTAAGATTTCGTTAGATGCTCAAAAAACTCAGGATTTTATTAGTGTCTCCATCTAGGCGGACAATATCATCCGCATACTCTACGTCGACAGGACTACCTTGGAATAGCTATGAGAAAATTGAACGTAAATGGGAACAGCTGACATCCCTGACGAACACCGCTAGGTTTTTATCACTTCAGATAACAACTCTCCATAAAAGCTCTTACACGGTTGTGCAAGTTCGATTAGTGCCTAATCAAGACATTCTACTCGAACAGACGTGACAAAGACGACAAATAAATCCGTAAAGACAACCAATCAGGTTCAAATACATCAGGAAAGATAGTTATAACATCGACGAAAGATTCATACTAGGGGGGAGGGGCACTTTACGTTGAAGAAAACCGCAGAAAACTAAGTCGTCTACAAAGACAATGAAAGCGTGCAAATTCAATTATCTATATAAAAAAAGTCAAACTTACAGTGAGTATTTTCGCCGGTAAAACATGACCAGTCATACCAGTTAATTTAGATAAATTACGACATATTTCATTCATTTCTTTACTTGGTATCGGAGGTCGACCATACCATGTCGATAAAGTTGGACCGATTGGATCAGATAACAGTTCAACTAACTTCTGTAGTAAATTTTCAATATGCTCTCTAATTAAGAAAAAGAAGAAAAAAAAAACAGAGGGCATTAAAAATTAGCAGTACAATAAAAACCAAGTACATTATAGTCATTGCATTTTCAACTGTACGAAAGTGGAACTCAAAACTCGTCACACTAATGCATTTTTCATTGATTCCTCTACATTCCCAGTGGAACATAGGGTGCCTTCAAGCTACAGGCTTGAAGTTTCGGAATGGGGCTGCTATAGCCACATGCCCAACCTTCACTCTTTACCAGTCTTATTACCAGTTTAGCGAGGTTTCGGTGTGCATCAGCAGAAGATCGAACTCCGGACTATTAACGAGCATTCTACTGATATGCCACCGACAAAACACTGATGCATTACACATAATTTGAATATTCACATTACGATAATTGTAAAACACGATTTAAGCTAGCAAATACATATTTTATCGGATTTTATCATGAGGTGACATTAGTTAGAGAACCATTGGAAAACCTGGGAGTTCTGGACAGCTGTTTCGTCCTAGTTTGGGGCTCTTTAACAGCACGCACGTCACACAAACTCGAACAGTTACGAGCGAAAACCAACAAACTGGCTGAACAAACCAGCAGCGAAAACAGGACTCCAGGTGAACAAAGCGAAGGTGGAGACAGAGGTGATGAAGGTAGATAACCAACAACAACAGCAACAAAAACAACCAGAACCAGTAAACTTCACCGCGAGAGATTTAACATAGGTTACTTCCTTCAATTATCTCGCCAGGAAGCATCGTTTCAACTACAGGCACACGGAACGAATGAAGATGTCAAAGTCAGCTAGCATGGTTCGGAAAGGCAAGATATGCCTTCATCAACCTGAAATCAGTTTGGAAAGCTTCTGCACTCCGCGTCAGCATAAACAACAAGATTCAGATTTTCAACACAAATGTGAAGTCAATCAGTTCTTTTATATAGGTCAGAAACTTGTCGCAAAAAGCCTTTCTTACAGGCCATTGCAGACTTTTGCTAACAGCTACCTTCGCCGGCTCCATACGGAAGATCAAATGACCAGCCGGATGGCCAGAAAGAATAAGCAATAAGAAACTCTGAAGTGGAGCGAACCAACCAAGAGCCGACTGCTCAACAAGTATGTAGGAGAAAACGGAGAGGGATCGGGAATACGCCACTGAGGAGACTGTCGAATGACATCGCGCCCAATACAGGCCATTGCTCGAGTGGAATGCAAGTGGGTTGCGACAAGTGGATCGTGATATGGAGGAGATAGTGTGAAGAGGAAATCAGATACTATGCGCAATCGTGGGGTCAGATAAAGAGGACTGCAGAAAATAGAACAAAGTGACGATGTGTTGTTGAAGTCCTATGTTTCACTCGGAACCCAAGGGAATAATTTTTTTAAAAGTGAGTTCGACTTTAGGATTTTATCATCTGACAACTTAAAATGACTGATTCTAAAACTTTTAGATTCCTTACTCATCATTTGGCATTGTAAATTACACATCGAGAGTAGGCGGTTAACAACACTGAGGAAACCAGACAAGTAAAAACAAAGAACAAGCAGCTTCACACTCGACAAGTATCTACCTATCTACATATCTATCTATCGGATAAAATACTCTATGCTCTGATATAAGTATAAAACACAAACGCCTCTTCTATCTGTTTTATTTCATCATTTAGGTCTTTTCTTGTGCTACTTCGATGATACCGATATAGAAAGCAAGTCTGAAGTTAAGTATCTTGGATTAGTTCTCTCTTCTGACCTATCTTGGTCTTCTCCTGTCTTAGCGATTTCTCAAAGAATATTTCGTTTGACTTTTTACATTAAGAAGTTGAGGCATTCAGGCATAACCCAACCACTCCCCTTACAATTTGTCAACTCGTGTATTTTACCTATTCTTCTTTACTGTTCACCATTATTCTTTCCTGGATTGCTAAAAAACCACTATGTCATACTTCGTAGAACTCTGAAGACTGTCAGTAGGACGAGTGGTATCCCATTGGGCCATATCGTTGGCACTGTCACCGGTAGGCATTTGATGTCATGCAACAGATTCGCTAGAGGAATTTTGTCAGACTCTGAGCACCCACTCTACCCGCAACTCCAACCTTGTGTCTCCTCAGGTAAAACAAGAAGTCTTTTCAGAAGACTTTATGCACCTACGTCTAAGTATAAAAATTCCACTATACCATATTTAGCACGTACTCTATGTGATGAAAATAGTGTCAGAAATGGACTAACTAACCTTCTTAGCACCACTAAATAGACCATTTTCTTCAACCTTAAAGCATCATACTTCATTGCTATTGTATTTCTTATATTTATAATCCTCTCAATTTTTTTCGTTTTGTTTATTTTATTTTTCATAAGTGTGGACATAATTTTAAGTTGTATTATGACTGTTAACTTTGTATTTCACCTCACTATACAATATCAACAGAACATTAGACCCAATTGTCCATAACATGCTAAAGTTTCCAAACTGAATCGACAATACCGTTTGAAACAAACTCACTGTTATTAGTATTTATTATTATTATTACTATTATTATTACTATATCTAATAATTATGTCGTTAATGTGGACAAATTCCTCCGATTAATTTTTGTTTTAATTTTTAATTTTATATACACTTTGAGTAAATCAGATGCAATATTGTGACAAATGCTGAGAATTCCATTCTTTATTATAAGTACTGTTTTTGGAACAAAGTATATTATTATTATTATTATTACTGCTCGGTTTGTTAGACACTTAACTAAGCCTGCCTCAACAGTTAACGGATGAGACGAATTAAAGTCTAAAAATCTATTAGAATGCGTTGGTTTTTTATAAACGCTAGTGTGTAGTTTACCTTCTTCTATTCGTTTTATTTTACAATCTAACATAGCTAATTGTCCTTGTTAATTTTCTGATTCAAATGTGAATTTTATTCCTTCTACTAGTGAGTTTATATGTGTCAAGAAACTAGAGATATGTTCTGTTTTTAACACTGAAAGTGTCATCCACATATCTCCACCATATTTTTGGAGTAGGATTAAACGTATTAAGGGCCATATTTTCCCAGCTGTCCATAAATATGTCTGCTACGATCGGGGATATTGGGGATCCCATTGCTACACCTTCTGTTTGTCTATATATTTTGCCTTGGAATTTACAGATAGTAGATGTGAGGCACAACTGAATTCCTAAAATAATTTCTTCAATGGGTAGTTTCGTCCTATAAGTGAGTTCAATATCTGCAGTTAGTTCTTTTTTAACTGCTTCCAAGGCCATATTGATTGGTATATTGGTATAAAGACCAGTTATATCAAAACTAACCATTGTTTCATTATTCTCTAGTTGAATGCCATTTAGTACTCTATGCTCTGTACATACTATTCAATATTCAATTACAATGTACAGCTAACAACTAGACAGCATGATTGATTACTATTCGATGATCATTTAGAACAATATTAAAAAACTATAAAAATCATAATTATAAAGATAAATAAAAATACACCATAAGTTTTAGAAAATAAAAACAATCATGATAAAAATAATAATAATAAATTTTGTCCACTCTGGTAAACACTGTAAGTTGAAATGTACTTATAGAATATTGAAAGTGTCAAGGTCGTACCTACTATTTATTATCCACTATCACTACCACGTACTTAAGTATACATGATGCCATTGATAGATAGATAGACGAATAGATGACGTAATAAATTTTGTAATGAAATCATCAGTCATCTATCTATCCGGTAATAAATAGCATATTTATGCAATCTGTTTTCCCCCAAACACTTATTATAGGACCGTTGTTTTGTTTTGTTTTTTTAATTAAAAACAAAACTGTACACTCCAAGTGAATCAGAAGTTAATTTATCTGGAAAAAATTTTTGCATTTTTTTTCTGTCAGTCTAAGAAGGAGTGATGATGACACTATCAAGGCGTCACACAGGCAGAAGTAGGTTGGCTACATGCCAGGCGCTTAAACCCAGGAGTTACATCTACTGCTACTACTACTACTAGCACTAATATAAACATAGTGCTAGTAGATGAACAAATACGCCTCAAAAAAGGTAAAGAAGTCTTAGGCTTACAAGAAGAAACAGAAGATTCCATATTAGTTTGTTTATTAGATATATCACACAGGGAAAGTTTTATTATTTACTGAATGACAAGGTTTCGAACACAATCTATTATTGTTCATAATCGTATCAATTATAATCACACAACTTCGAACCTTAAGTTCTATAGTTTTCTTGGCTCTCTACTATTTGTCGTTAGGGTAGGGGTACTAGAATCTTCCAGATGTTCAACTGGAGAGGTGTCGAATCATTCCTATCACACGTGTTTGCAGTTCATTCGATAAACAAAGCTTCCATTATCAAACTCTCCATCTACTCGCCCAGTCACATTGGATTTTAAAACTGTCATCTCATTCCACCCATCCTATTGTATGGTTGTGTGTAATTGCATGTAGCACTATAGCTGGACTATTCTATCTTATTCGGGTCAACTAATCTAGATTTTGCTAGGATTTCATGCACCGCTCGTCTGACTGCACCTGTTCTACTACTTTGAACTATGTATTTGACCTGACAATCGTTCTAGGCAGGGTATTAGATAATTTAAATTATTTTGTTTTTAAAGCCTCCACAGAATCCTTTAACCGACAAAGCTTGTTTCTAATTGAGTTTGTGGGTGGTTTGAATACCAGCCGCTTTTATTCCTGCTGTGTTAAGAATTCTCCGTAAGGTTTCCGAGGTTTCTTCTTTGTATGGAATTACTACTGATGATTTCGATTCCTTATTGTTGGTGTTGTCATCATCTTGCGTATGTTCGATACGCATGTCATCACTACTACTACTATCATTATTTATTTTATTTTTAATTTTACATTTCCCTACATACTTTCCGATTAATTTATCAGGGTGATTATTAAGTTCCAAGGATACGCCCCAAGCACGTTTTATAGATAGGTTTAAAAGACGTGTAAGCATCAACTTTACACCCTGTCTCTATAATATGTATGGC